CTTTATGGGATCTGGGTTTTTATTTATCCTTGCTCTACGGGATTTGGGGTTTTATTTATCCTTGCTTTACAGGATTGGGGTTTTTATTTATCCTTGCCTTACGGGATTTGGGTTTTTAAAGTGTCGTTTTGCTTTGTCGCTGCTGGGAGCTGCAACGCCCTCGCCGTGGTTTTGACCGGCGAGGCTCCACGACGCTTGAGCGAAGTCGGGGATTAAAGCGGCGAAACGAAGCAGGACACAAAACCTCTCGGCCACCGCGCACCAGGATTTTTACCAAAACCCGAAAGTCGGGGGTGTTTAGCGGGTGCTTCAATAGCAATAATTCACGCCCTCGTTTTTTAGAAGCTGTTGGGTGAGAGAATGATTTATGGTTTTTTTTTAGATGAGGGAGCAGATCCCACCCCGAACGAGGTGGGGAACCAGGGGTTTTTAAGCGACTCCCCCTTGGAGCATCTACTGCCGTGCGGGGGAATTCTCTTCCTGAGCTTTGATGTGGGGAAAAGGAAAACCAATTGCATATCCAGCAGCCTTAAAGCTTCGTCATTCCATGCCGAGTGTTAGTAGGAAGTGGGAATTCCGGAAATACTGACTGGGGAGAGGCCCAATTCCACCCTCGGCAGCGTGAATTTTCCCCGCGCCGCTCGTCACCCCTCGCTCCGGAGAAGCCCCCGCGCTCCAAGCCGAGGCCGGGGGGGTTTAATACAAGCGAGGTGTCTCAGCGGGGAAACGCTTTGCTCTCCAGCCCAGAAGGCCGGGGGTGAAGAAATTTAGGACGGAACCTCGTTTTTTCCACACCCAAATTGTCATCTTCTGCAAAAAAAAAAAGGGGGCAGGGGAAAAAAAAAAAAGGTGCGTAGGAAGCGTCAGTGCAGTGCAGGGAAGGAGCGGCGGAAAAGAAATGAAAAGCTGGGAAGGGCCGCAGCTCTTGGCACCCCAGACACCGGATTTGGGAACTGAGCTGGGGTTCGGCTTTGCCCGGTAGCTGCGCGTGGAATTGCGGAAGCAAAGGGCGCGAGATTTCGCTCTTTGCCTTCCTTTTTAATGGACTTCTCCCCCACCTCCCCTCTCCTGCGGAGGAGGCGCCGGCAAATCTGCCCGTCCCCGAGCGTCCCCCCCGTTACGGCTGCCGGCGCAGGTTTTCAGGTGGATTCCAGCAGCTTTTATTCCTTCAAAATGGGAGTTTAGTTTTGATAAGGCGAGTCTGCCTGCCGGGTAAATCATCTTGCGCTCAGCCTGATGCGAAGAAGGCCCCGACGCTCAACCTGGGGGGCAAATTGGGCAGGAAAAGAAGCGCTCGAAGCCCTTGACTGTAGTCCTCTTGATAAATAAAATTAAACCCAGACTAAGTCTCGACTACGTCCGGCGTGGTCACATCCAGGCTCGCCGGGGGGGGGGGGTTCGCTGCGTCGGAGGGTTCCGATAACCTCGGATCCCAGACCTAGTGCCCAAATTTCGAGGTAAATGGGATGAGCTGTGCCCGCACGGCTCCATTCCCCTTGGATCGTTGCCTCTTGTCGACCCAGGCGGATGGCTCCCCGCGTTGGAGCCGTCCGCACGCACGTTGCCGTAATTCCTCGTTACCGGAACGAGATTCTTCCTCGTTACCGCCTCTCCCGGCCGCGGGGCCCGAGCCCCGGCCGCC